GGTTAAGCTCTCCTATCTTTGGGGCTCCTTGGGCACTGGGAAATAAGGATAGCCCCAAAACCCAAGGAGAAAACTAAGATTAGAGTTAACAACTCTAAAATCAAGCTGCCCCTATGCTCTGAGAAAGAGAGAGACTGAGATTACATGCATTCCTGGCCAGACATAAAGCTTCTTTGTCTCCATATGTTTGGTTTCCATACGAGTTTCTCATCACAACTTGTATTCCTTCAGTCCCTCAACAAACGTGCATTAAGTCCCCACTACACACCAGAATTTTAAATATCTGATTTTATCACTGTAGGAGACTCCAGCTTTCTGGCTGAGAGCTGGGAATACCAAGCTGAATATGGTAAGACTCTCAAGAAACAAGAGTCTGGTGCGAAAGACACTTGTTTTTTTCTCTAGTTTAGGATAACATTTTTGGTTAAGGTGAAGGGCAGGAAATGACAGGAACCAGCCAGCTCCCAAGATAGTTCGAAGCTTCAAGAAACCAATGATAATTTTTTTTTTTTTTTTTTTTTCAGGCTAAGGCTGACCTAACAAGATGTGAGAAGAGATGAAAGGGTTAAGCTCTCCTATCTTTGGGGCTCCTTGGGCACTGGGAAATAAGGATAGCCCCAAAACCCAAGGAGAAAACTAAGATTAGAGTTAACAACTCTAAAATCAAGCTGCCCCTATGCTCTGAGAAAGAGAGAGACTGAGATTACATGCATTCCTGGCCAGACATAAAGCTTCTTTGTCTCCATATGTTTGGTTTCCATACGAGTTTCTCATCACAACTTGTATTCCTTCAGTCCCTCAACAAACGTGCATTAAGTCCCCACTACACACCAGAATTTTAAATATCTGATTTTATCACTGTAGGAGACTCCAGCTTTCTGGCTGAGAGCTGGGAATACCAAGCTGAATATGGTAAGACTCTCAAGAAACAAGAGTCTGGTGCGAAAGACACTTGTTTTTTTCTCTAGTTTAGGATAACATTTTTGGTTAAGGTGAAGGGCAGGAAATGACAGGAACCAGCCAGCTCCCAAGATAGTTCGAAGCTTCAAGAAACCAATGATAATTTTTTTTTTTTTTTTTTTTTGGCAGTACACGGGCCTCTCACTGTTGTGGCCTCTCCCGTTGCGGAGCACAGGCTCCGGACGCGCAGGGTCAGTGGCCATGGCTCACGGGCACAGCAACTCAGCGGCACGTGGGATCTTCCCGGACCGGGGCACGAACCCGTGTGCCCTGCATCGGCAAGCGGACTCTCAACCACTGCGCCACCAGGGAAGCCCACCAATGATAATTATTGAGCGAAGAGAATTTAAAGCAAGAATCCTTTGAGGGTGGCTCACTGCTTCCCCCTGGTGGAGATCAGTAGCAAGCATGTCAGGCGGCTTTCCCACAAAACTTTTCATTCAACGAAGTGCAGAGGCTTCGAGGCAGGAGCTGGGCCTGAGAATAAACAGGGATTCACCAGAAGGACAAAGGGGAAGGGAATTCTAGGCAGAGGGGTGAGTACCAAGAGCCAAAATCCATGTCTGATCTAGGAAACCCTAAGTAACTAATAGATTAATTGGATATTTAGGGCTTGCGGGGGAAATGTGAACAGTGGGCTTCCAAATGGGAGCCAGATCCTGAGGTGCTTTGCAATCCATAAGAAAGACTGTTCATTAAGGCACTGGGGAGTTTTCCTGGGCTACATGAGCGGGAAGGTGTATTGATTCAGAGATATTTATTGAGTCCCTCCTATGGGCTAGATATGCAGCTGGGAATAAAATGGTGTATAAAAACTGGTATGATCCCTGCCCTCTTGCAGCTTTAAGGCTACTAAGGAAGAGAGGTATCCATTAAAAAAAAAAAAACAAAAACACTCCTTAAAAAAGTTTAAATTAAACTTAAAATGTGAAGAGTGGCACCATAACATTGAGGAAAGGCAGAAGTAGAGTACGATGTTAAGGAGACTCAGAGCTGAGTGGATAGTGCTTTACTGAGCTGAGGTTCTCTCCAGGCTGACCCTGGCGCTGGAGGAATCTGGGCATGAGCACAGCCCTTGGTCACTGCTTTCAAGGTCCCAGTGGCTCAAAGGGTGGCATCAGAGGTAGGACATCATCAAAGGAATCTCAGCTGCCTAGGAAGGGTTGGTGGTGGCGGGAGGATTGATTATATCAGTGTTTTTTTCAAACCATGGCTCACAGTCCAAAAGTGGGGTGTGAAATCAAAGTGGTGGGTCATCACCAGCATTTGGCAAATTATATGGAATAAAATAGAAAAAAGTGTATAAAATATCATGTATAGTAAGAATGAGTATTGTTTCATGAAACTCCTTTTAGTTGTGTATGTGTACATGCGTGTGTATTTGTGTGTGTGTGTGAGTGTATACAGGGTTGCATTATAAATCATATTTGTTACTGTGTATCTTGATTAAAAAAATTTTGAAAAATACCCAATTAGAGGCCCTCTCAAGGTCTCACTGAGCCCAGGATGTTACAAAGGATGATGGCCCAGCCCAGGGAGAGGTGACATAAACCCCTCTCTCAGGAAGAACTTGGGTCCAGCTCATGTATAAGAACTTTTCCAAACTCATAGCACATCTCTGAAGAGAAGATATTAACTCTGAAAAGCAATTAAGAACCTAACCTCACGGATGGACCTAGAGTCTGTCATACAGAGTGAAGTGAGCCAGAAAGAGAGAAACAAACACCATATGCTAACACATATATATGGAATCTAAAAAAAAAAAAATGGTTCTGAAGAACCTGGGGCAGGACAGGAATAAAGGACACAGACGTAGAGAATGGACTTGAGGACACGGGGAGGGGGAAGGGTAGGCTGGGATGAAGTGAGAGAGTGGCATGGACATATATACACTACCAAATGTAAAATAGATAGCTAGTGGGAAGCAGCCACATAGCACAGGGAGATCAGCTCAGTGCTTTGTGACCACCTAGAGGGGTGGGATAGGGAGGGTGGGAGGGAGATGCAAGAGGGAGGGGATATGGGGGTATATGTATATGTATAGCTGATTCACTTTGTTATAAAGCAGAAACTAACACAGCATTGTAAAGCAATCATACTCCAATAAAGATGTTTAAAAAAACAAACAAACAAAAAAATGAACCTAACCTCAAATGCTCACTCTCATGCATTGTGGGGGGCGGTGGGAGGGAGAGGCATAAATTGGTACGAATTTTTGGAAAGCCATATGGCGACATTCACCAGAAGTCTTAAAATATGTAAACACTTTGCTGCAGGAACTCCACTCCTATGAATTCACACTACAGGGATCGCCAAGGATGTACCCAAAGTTAACACTCAAAGTTGTTCACTGCAGCAATGCTTATAACAGGAAAAAAAAATGGATACAACCTACATTTCTAGAAATAGGAGGCCGGTGGAATAAATGGTGGCAGATTTCAGGCGTTAAAAATGAGCAGGAAATACATTTATTGACAAAGGAAGGTGTTTATGATATAACATTGTAGTTCAGTGCAATTTTTTAAAGGCGAGAAAATTCCCAGCTGCTTCTCACAGTAGGTAGAGAGAAGAAGTCCCCTGAAGCAGGTTTTGTCTGCACTGAGTGACTGAGCGGCCTTTTTTAACTATGTGAATATTAGGTGAGTCAATAGCATTGTACTAGAGTGAAGAATAACATGACCTTTATAGCTAGTCAACCAGGGGTAGTTCTGCACCCTCCCTGGAACATTTAGAAACATCTGGAGACATTTCTGCTTGTCATGACAGGGATGGGGCAGGGGTGCTACTGGTATCTAGCGTTACCTCTACTGGTAGAGGCCAGGAATGCTACCAAACACCCTTCAATGACAGAAGAGCCCCCAGTCCAGGGCTATTTGATGATGATCGTAGCCATCATTAGAGTCTGCTAGCAAGAAAGAATCCAAAAGGGCGTGCATGCGGGAGCTGGGCCTGTCCACTTCCGTATGCCCAGCCCTGCTGGCACACATAATCACTCCATAAGTACTCGTTGAATGTTGCATGTCGAATCCAGCTAGGGCACCTATCGATGAACAGCCACCTGACTTTATCAGTACCAGACTAGTGCTCAACAGTGACTCCTTGTGGTGGGAACTGAAACAACCATGCAGGTGGACCAGTAAGCTTTTCTTTGGCTGTTTGCAGAGCTGATCGCTTAGGAGTGAAAAGGCCCCAGAGATAGTAGAAAAATCATGAGGCTAGAGGAAAGCAGGAAACCTCAATCAGAATGATGTTTGGTGTCCTGCTAATCAGGGAAAACAGGTATTTGAGAAATTAATGAAAAATAGCAAAGAAAGATTACAATGTTGGACCTCAAACTGATAAAAACAAATCAGAGGTTATTTTGTTAGGTGAAAAAAGCAGTTTTCAAAATAATATGTATGGATAATCCTAGCTTCATGGTTTTATCATTTATTGTTTAGAGAAACTATACACATACCCATTTGTCAGAAAGAATTATACCAAAAATTATACCAAAATGATAACAGTAGAGGGTGGGGACTTGGGGTTTTTTTTAAATCTGTTTTCTAATTTATTTTACAATGAATGTATATTATTTATGGAAAAAGAAAAATAAGAAGTTAGATGCTGAGCCAAAATACAAAGGCACTTCCCAATGTATAAGGTAAAAAGACCCTAGGGACTTCCCTGGTGGTGCAGTGGTTGGGAGTCCACCTGACGATGCAGGGGACACAAAGCCCTGGTCCGGGAGGATCCCACATGCTGCGGAGCAAAAAAAAAGACCCTAGTCTTTCACTCACGCCCAATATTTCCATATATGGACCCTAATTATCCAGAACCCCATGCCCTAGCACCTCAGAAGGTCTCCCTTGGGCAAGAGTAGCTGCCCTGACCACTTCTTCTGGCTCCAAATTCCAGGCCCCTCTTTCCTCTGCTCATGAGCGGTACGCACCATCCAGAGCCGGCTCTGCCTCATCCCGGCCTGCAGGTGCGGGCACAGGAACCCGGAGGAATGGCGGCACACGTCGCGGACGCGTTTCCATCCCCCTGGGGCTGCTCACCTGACATGTGGACGTTCCGTAGGCAGGAGAGGGAGGCATTGAGGCGGGCACACTCCTCCCGGTTGGCCCCGTATTTCTCCACGGTCTCACACACCTGCTCGTCCGTCATCTCCAAGAGGTCCTCCAGACTCAGCTGGCCCGGGGTAATCTCCTAGCGGAGGGAAGAGAGAAGGAGGGTAAATAGACCGGAAGCGCCCCGAGGGGAGGCCTCCATGTCGCCCTCTAGTGGTACCTAGAGGAAGGCCAGGCTCTCGGTGGATGTCGGCTTAGCGTAACGGTTGGGTCTCCTCACTCCGGTCAGACAGGCCTGCGTTTGAATCTCAGCTTTGCCACTCATTAGCTAGATGATCCAGGGCAAATCACTTAACCTCTCTGAGCCTCACTTTACTCACCTGAAAAGTGGGAATCTTAAGCTCATGTGCTCTGCAAGGTCGCAGGTATGCTTAGCACATAGTCGGAGCTCTGTAAATGGTGGCAGTTAATTACCTGTCTCCCCATGCAGTTTTGAACTCCTTATAGGCAGGGCTCCAGCTTACTCATCTTGGAAGGCCTTCCATGCCTCCTGCCCGGCTTGGACTGCAATGATTTGTCCCAAATCCAGGGTGAACTAATAAGAGCAGAGAAAACTGGACAGCCCAAGTCTCCGGATGGCTGGTCTCCTTTCCCTTTTCTTCTCTCTTTCCCAGCCACACATTCTAGGGCTCAGATTGGGGGTTCAGGAACCCTAAGGGGAAAGGGGGGCTGGAACCCTGTGGGTGGTTCAGTGCTGTCAATCAAACGGGATTTGGGTCTGAGCCCGATGGGGCAAGACTTTGCAACCCAAGACAAAGTGGAGTATAGCATGGAGTGGGGAAAGGGACACCGCTGAAGACATGGGCTGGAGGAAAGGTAGGATTGCCGGCTATAACTGTGTTGGTCAGGTGTCCCTTCACTACCGCCAGCAACCATCCCTCCCTTCCCCGAAGCAGTGTGTCCCTATACACCACAATATGGACACACCTGGAAATTGGTCAAACTTCTATATTTACGCATCTACAAAAAAAAGCCTTCACATTATAGCACTTATTGGTAACCAACATTTTACATTTATTATTATTACCATTATTAAAATAAGAGTTTTAGATAGCAAAGAATGGCGATTCTAAGGCAATATTGTGGAGTACTTCCGCCCTCTTGTGGCCATATCTGTGTATTACAACCAAATGAGACGCCATCCTGCCCCACCCCGCCCCCGCCTTAATCTGGCAGTCAGAAAGATGAAAACTGAAAACTGCATCGACACAAAAATTCTATGGAAAAAAAAAAAAAAAAAGCTGCCGGGCAAAAGCTGAAACCCAATCAGTGCCTCTCCAACTCACTAGGTCAGGGGCAAAGAAAGAACAATAATGAGTCACATAGCAGCTTCCTCAAATAGGGACTGTTACAGGGAAGTCCACATTAAGAAAGGTGATGCACCAGGATCTGAAAGTATGAAATGAATTACATTTAGAAGGGATGATTCACAACATAAAAGAATTCTCCTCTTTGCTGCAAGATCCACTTGTGCATTTTAATTCTATAATTTACCCTCCAAAATACTCAATTTACACTGAAGTTTACGGTTCACACACACACACAAATCACAGAAGGAAGAATGACAGAAAAAAATGGAGAAGGCTTTAACTAGCTTGACCCAAAAGAGGAGAGGCACTTCTGTTCGATTTATTCATAATAATAATAATAATTGAAATAGAACACTGTTTTAAGTGCTTTTCATGGATTTTCTCTAAAGGTCACAAAGACCACATAAAGCAGGTACTTTTACCATCATCATCCATCTGTAACTAGGACATTGGCATTCAGAGAAGTCAGACCATCATCACCCAGGGTCACACTGTGAGTAAGTGTGAGCCCAGGCAGTCTCTCTTAGGAGCTTTCTCCATACTGCTGGTTCTTCCACAGAAGGGGGCCGTCTGGGGGACACACGCGTGAGCTGCAGACAGAGAGCTGGAAACCCAGCTCCGTCCACACCGCCTGGTTGGTGGCCTTGGACTCGATTCTCATAGACTAAGATAAGAGCCAGAGCCCAGGCACCTGCAGGCCAGGTAAATGTAAATGAGCAAAGCTGAGAACTAGCCTGCGGGATCTTAAGGGGCAGCAGAATTCGGTTCACTGACACCAGACAGGAGTTCACTTCTGTGCGGTCAGCAATTCCGATTTTTCGAGAGAAGCTGAAGATCTGAGTTTTTTATGCAGACTCTTCCAACTCTTAAATACTGGCTCAAAAATAATTTTGAAGACAAACAAAAAATATCTGTGCCTCAGATACAAGATACAGCAGAGGGCCACTAGTTTTCAACCCCCGAAGGTTTGTCTCGGTCTTATTCGCCTCAATTGATAAATAAATGGTCCCGAAAGCCTCTGAAACGTGTATGGAGCCATGCAAATAAAATGTACTGTCTGCACTTTTATGGGACCTTTCATTTTAAGGATATTCACACGAAACGGCCATCCTGGGAATGATATTAAGAAACAGAGACTCCTACACCATCTGGTGCATATGCGCAAGATGCGGGCGGGGGGAGAGGGGAGTGTGAGGGTTCTGTATCCCCAGCTCAGGGCTGTTATATGTAGCAGGTTCGGGCAAGATCACATTGGGAACAAGGTCTAAAAAGACAAAAGGATCTTCCAGGCCTCTTTGAGCAGGAAGTAGGGGGTGCCTTGAGAAATGGCACTTGGTCCTGCAGGTGGGGGGGGGCGCCCAGAACGCCCTCTCCCCAGCTCAGGAAGGCCCCCCCAACAGGAAAACGAGGAGAAAGCACCGTGCTTCCCACTTCACACTCTGGAGTCCATCTGAGCTGGGTTTTCCTGCTAGCTCCGCCCACTCACGAGCAGGGCAACTCCCTCCATCTTCGAGCCTCGGTTTCCTGCTCTGTGCAATGGGGTAAAAGTCATACCTACCTCAAAAGGGCGTTGTGAGGGTCTGAACAGTCTCAAGAGTTGAGATCCTGCGTGTAAAACCCTCAATACTATGCCTGGCACTGAAGATTCAATGAATGAGAGCTGATTTTATTAGGAAAGTTTCCACCCAGTCACTGAAAACAAGGGGGGACCCAAGATCCCAGGGGGTAAGGAAATCTCACCATCCTTGAAACCTTAAGGAGGTGATCCACTCCTGGAGCGTGGACACAAGACAACAGGTGTTCTGGTTTTGTCACTAGAAAACCTATGACTTCCAAAGTTTTCAGTAACAGCAACAGCAATAATAAGTTGACATTTCCTGGGTACTATTAGGTTCCAGACTATGGGCTGAACATTTTACACAGAGCATCTCATTTTATCATGCCAACTACTTAAGAAGAGGAGACAACCATTACCCCATTGAACAGATGAGAAAACCAATGTCCTAAGATATGCTGCCCCGTATGGTGGCCACTGGCCACATTAATGAACATTAAATACAATTAAAACTTGAGTTCCTCAGTCACAGGCACTAACCACAATTCAAGTGCTCAGTAGCTACATGTGGCTGGTGGCTACCGCATCAGGCAGCACAGATATGAAATATTTCCACCATAGTAGAACATTCTGCTGGACAGCACTGGTCTAAGAGGTAAAGTGATTTGGCCCAGGAGGCTGAGTCCTTAAGTGGCAGAGCTGAAAGAGGGTCTATCTGACTCTAGATCCACACTTTTTTTTTTTTTTTTTTTTTTGGCCACACCTCACAGCATGTGGGATCTTAGTTCCCTGACCAGGGATCGAACCTAAGCCTGGATTCTTAACCACTGGACCGCCAGGGAAGTCCCTAGAACCACACTCTTAATGACCCCATTCAGACAGCATCAGAGATGCTCCGTGCCTGCATCCAGCACGTATTTAAGTCCTACTATGAGCCAGACACAGCCAAAAACCCACTGCCTGCGGGGGCTGGCTGCCGGCCAGTAAGGGGCAGAGGGCAGGGGTCGCCTCCAGTCACCTCCAGGACTTCCTTCCGCACGTCGACGATCCGGAACCAGTGCCGGAGCTGGGGGAAGCCGTCCAGCTCGGCATTGCGTTCCTGCAGGGCTACCTTCTTTTTGCAGGACAGCTGCCGGCTGAAGTACTTCACCAGCTTGCTCTGCGGAGACACAGAGAACAGAGGACATGTCTCAGAGGCACTGCCACAAGGAGGAGAGGCAAGTATCTCCCCAATGTCCCCTCCGCACCCCAACTCCGTGTTTTAAAGACCGGTTCAACTGCAGTGAGACCCAGTTTCCATTCATGTCCCAACTGTGTTGGTGAAGATGGGCAAACAGGCAGGTTCCAATATTCTGCTGGGGAGGACGGCGTGGGGGGGGCGGGGTTTGGAGTGGGGGCGGGGTTTGGACTATATCCATCCACATCTCCACTGCATCTCCACTGCACCAATCCTTTGACCTTCACAGTTGCACTTGTAGGAACTCCTCCCACAGACACCCCATCCTGTGCCAAATGACTGTGGAGGAGGATATTTCCTACAGTTCTGCTTGCAATGGCAAAAGATTGCAAACACCCTGAGGGGCCATCGGTAGGAGACTCATCATAAATGAGGATACACGCACACAGCGGAACTTTATGCAGCTGTAAAACAAAAAGAGGAAGTGTGCTGTGTACTAAGACAAGATATGCTGATAAATAAATACTCTCTCATTCATGTGGGAAATGTTTACATTTGTGTATCTTTGTAAATGCAGACGCTCTCTGGAAAGATCCCTAATCTTCTAGGGAAGGAAAGAGGGAGGGAGGGGGACAGAGGTGAGAGGAACATTTTGTTTAACCCCTTTTTTACTATTTCAGTCTTAAGTCACATGCAAGTATTCATAAGTTAACAAATACTTTTAAAGTGAGGTGGACCCCGGGACTTCCCTGGAGGTCCGTCCAGTGGTTAAGACTCCATGCTTCCACCGCAGGGGGCACAGATTCGATCCCTCACCCAGGAACTAAGATCCGCATGCCGCATGGTGTGGGCAAAAAATAAATTTAAAAAATAAAATAAAATGAGATGGACCTGAACCCATGCTTCTAGAGGGATGCCATGCCATGAAAAAGGAAAGGTTTTTTTTTTATTGCCTATTATGTAAAAACTAACAACATTAACAAAAGAAAGGCAATAGGTGTGCATGAGCAGAGAAGAAAGTGTGCAAGACACACCCCAGCCTGCTAAGTTGGGATGGGGAAGCTCTATAGATGGGGTGAGAAAAAAACGGTCGTATTTCTTTATATATTTTTGCTTTGTTTCAATAGTTACTCAAAGCATGTTTCATTTTTGTGATTTAAAAGCTATTTAATAAAGATAATTCAATGAAACAAAAATTAAAATCCTCAGTTATACAAATGCCTTTGACATTTGAAAGCACCTGTCAGCCAATATTTATCAAGAAGGCGGTCCCGGAATTCTAGGACCACATCATTCGGAGCAGAGCGTGACAGCAGTGGACACCTGTTTCTGTCTAGCTGGTCTCCATACAAAGACTATTTCAGCTTTCTTTTGGGGAACCTCCTTCTTCGGCTCCCAGTTCATATGGCTGAGGTGAGGCTGGCTTCACCCACCCACCCCACCACCACCGGGCTGCAGGGTGGGCATGTGACCCAGGCCTGGCTGCAGCCTTTGGAGCAGAAGTAACAAGTAAGCCAGGCTGGGCCGCGGAGAAACCTCCCCATCAACCCTTCCCAAGCACTCAGAGGACAGCTCCCACTTCCCACTGGAATTGTCAGGAGGGCGCCGACGAAGCCAGGAGCTGCCGGGGCATCCCTGTTGCCATCTAGGAGAGCTCACCTGACACTGAAGCCCACTGGAAGAAACCAGAAAACTGGTGTTTAAGTTAACGTTAATTTTATTCACCTTACTAGTAAAGAGAAAGTTGCCATTTTTTTTTTAACGGAGATTTTTAAAATTAATTTATATTTTTGGCAGTGCCGCACAGCATGTGGGATCTTAGTTCCCCAACCAGGGATCGAACCCGTGCCCCCTGCAGTGGAAGCACAGAGTCTTAACCACTGGACTGCCAGGGAAGTCCCAAAGTTGCCATTCTTGATCAGCCCACATTCTATTGCAATAACGGCACAAAAATCACCTTATGCTAATGTACCTAGAATGCTTTTCATTTAGAATCTCAATTCCAAGTGTTAGAATAGAAAATGTCAAAAAGAATATGTTTTTTTCTCTAGCTTATTTCTGAATGAATAGGGTCTGACCTACTGAGACTTCAAAGCTGGGCTCTCAACTAAGACATCTATAGAACTTTCATGTCTCTCGTTTTATTTTACGACTTGTTTTAACTATTCTCTTTATACAGGTATGGAAAACCACACAAAAGAAATAAGTACACTTTGACACGTTCCCCATCATTCTTTGAGCACTTCCTTACTTTCTGACACAACAAAATTTTCTAGGGTCATCTTACTCTTTTCCTGACCCAACCCTGGAATCCACCATTTCTCCAAGGAGTGTTGGTTCCTCTGAGCGGAATATGGTATTCAGAAGCCAAGATCTGGGTACTTGGTGAGATTATTGATACCGGGGTGTCATCATTTCCAGTCCCCTTAGTAGACAGCCTAGGCAACATATGTATGTGCAATGCATATGTGAATACATAGATACATAAATCTGCACCTATATTTATTCTGTTATTTATATGTATTGGTAACTGATACCTCTAATCCCAATCCAACACCATGGGGTTTATTCTAGCATTTTCCCTCCCCACATTTGTATCACTCTTCTCAGGCAGTGAGAAAAACAATCCTCAATATATTTATTTATTGGCTCCGTCTGCTGAATTTAGCGAATTCCCTAACTCCACCAGGCCACTGCCCTGCCTGGGTGCTGCCCTCATGAACCCTGATCCCGGCTGGGCTGCCCTCTCACCCTAGTTCTGCTGCCTGCCTTGTTTTTGTTTTTGTTTTTTGCGGTACGCGGGCCTCTCACTGATGCAGCCTCTACCGTTGCGGAGCACAGGCTCCGGACGCGCAGGCTCAGCGGCCATGGCTCACGGGCCCAGCCGCTCCACGGCATGTGGGGTCTTCCCAGACCGGGGCACGAACCTGTGTCCCCTGCATCGGCAGGCGGACTCTCAACCACTGTGCCACCAGGGAAGCCCTTGTTTTTGTTTTTGTTTTAATTGAAGTATAGCTGATTTACAGCGTTGTGTTAGTTTCTGGTGTACAACAAAGTGATTCAGATAGAGATATAGATAGATACAGATATGTATATATCTATCTATATATATTCTTTTTCATATTCTCTTCCATTATGGTTTATCACAGGATATTGAATATAGTTCCCTGTGCTCTACAGTAGGACCTTGTTGTTTATCTATCCTATATACAATAGTTTGCAACTGCTAGTCTCAAACTCCCAATCCATCCCTCCTCTACCCTGCCCTTGGCAACGATAAGTCTGTTCTCTATGTCTGTGAGTCTGTTTCTGTTTTGTAGATAAGTTCATTTGTGTCATATGTTAGATTCCACATATGAGTGATATCATATGGTGTTTGTCTTTCTCTTTCTGACTTACTTCGCTTAGTATGATAATCTCTAGTTGCATCCATGTAGCTTCAAATGACATTATTTCATTCTTTTTTATGGCTCAGTAGTAGTCCATTGTATATACGTACCACATCTTCTTTACCCATTCATCTGTCGATGGACATTTAAGTTGTTTCCATATCTTCGCTACTGTAAACTCTTCTGCTTATGAACACTGGGGTGCATGTATCTTTTCAAATTACGGTTTTCTCTAGATACGTGCCTAGGAGTGGGATTGCTGGGTCACATGGCTATGCCTTGCTGTTGTTGCTGTTGTTTCAGATATTGATGTTTGCCGATGGATTCTCAAATCCAATATCCAGGCACCACCCCCAACTCTGCTCTGGTTTCACACGCTGAGAAGCGGACATGAGTGATACTGATTTAATCTCGGTGTCAAATGTCCAAAATGGTCATTTCACCAGCTACATGTGGCTAACTGAACATTTAGGGTATTGCTATAGGGTGATTAAGGAATGGAATTTTAAATTGTATTTAATTTAAGTTTGAAAATGGAAGCCATGTACAGCATTTTTCTGTTAAACATAAACATCATTTTGATAGAGCTACATTTTACTTTAACTTTGACATTTTAGGGTCTGAATTGAGATGTGCTGTTAAGTGTAAAATACACATTGGATTTCAAAGACTTGATAGGAAAAAAATAACATAAAATATCTCATTAATATTTTTACATGGATTACATGTTTCAATGATAATCTTTTGGATACATTGGGTTAGATAAAATATATTACTAAAATGAATTTCAGCTGTTTATTAATGTGGCTACTAGAAAATTTTAAATTATACATTTGGTTCACATCTGTCACCCTCATTATATTTCTAAGGGACAGTGTTGCTCTAGGGCTTTATCCTAAAGAAATAATTAAGGATATTCATGAAGTCTTGCTCCAAGTGGATAATAGCCATGAAAGATTAGAAACAATCCAACTCTTCAGTGATAAGAGCTGATGTAAATAAATTACAATGTATTCATATAGTGGTATACCATTTAAAGATGTACAAAATATGTATAATATTTGTAATGTATAAATAATGTATTAAAAGCTTTATAAAACTATACGAGTATAGATGCAAAAAGCCTTGGGAGGGTATATAACAAAATTAAGATTACGGGTGACCTATTTTTTTCCTGTTTGCACATCTGTAGCAATCTTAGAAAATACGATGTATATGCATTAGCTGCCTATCAATGGAAAAAAATGTTTGGATAAGGTTGGCAATATTTTTTAACGCTGATGCTATCCAATGTCAATGAGAATGTGAGAAACCATTGAGAATGCCACCAGAGAGCAATTTGATTTGGAAGTATCAACATTTTTTTTTCAGTTGAAGTACAGTCGACTTACAATGTTGTGTTAATTTCTGCTGTATAGCAAAGTGATTCAGTTATACATATACATATATATATATATACATTCTTGTAAAAATTATTTTCCATTATGGTTCACCACAGGATACTGAATATAGTTCCCTGTGCTGTACAGTAGGACCTTGTTGTTATCCTTTCTACCTATAATGGTTTGCATCTGCTAACCCCAAACTCCCAAT